CAATTTCTTATCATTCAATTTGAATATATGTAATTTGTTTTCTAAGGTAAATAAGGGCTTTCAATAGATAGCTAGTATTTCTAGTACTTAATAATATTGACTTTAATATTCCCCTATATGCAAAAAAAGTGCCTTTGATGCTTAAAATTAAAATAACCTTATGATATTCTCGATTTTGGGTAATACAATTTAGGTGAAGGACCCTAACGACTGTATTCCTAGTATTTAATAATATTGACTTTAAGTCACCTTTATACGCAAGAAAAGTGCTTAAAATTACTTAAAGTTGAAATCTTATTATATTTTTAAAATAGGCCTATTGTAAAATCTTAAAATGTAGACCTACGAATTGAAATTCTTAAATGCTGTTTCTTTACATTTTCACTTTTTGCACTCTGAAGTTATCTGAAGTGTTAAATATTTCAGCGATTTTTTTTAAACAAGGACTTTTGCTCGCCTTATTCCCAGAGCAAACAGGCTATCATAAAAGAGAAAGAGAAATGCGTCCCAAGGCAGCCAGCGACATTTATGCAATAATTAGCCAAGTGCATGGGACTTGGAGAACCGGGTTCCAACGACTCGATAAAATCAAGAGCAGGACTAAATATTTTAACAGTCCCACTCCTACTTTAAGATACACCAAAGGAATCTTACTCATTTTTTTTCCATCTTACATCAACTCCAATCCCCAGCGACGCACTGTGAGCTGTCAGAGGGAAAAGGCAAAGGCCGGGAGCAGCAACGACACCGACAACGACGTCCTGGATGTGGATAACTCCGAGTGCTCCGCCCACGGCCTGGAGCTGCCTGAGCTGTTCCGGAGCTGCGGCAACGAGGCCTGTCCGCAGTGGAGCAAGGCGGAGTGGTCGCCCTGCCAGCGATCCCGCTGCCACGGCAGGAACACGGCCATCCAGCGCCGCGAGGTGACCTGTCGCTACGACAATGGTACGGTGGGCAGTGCCTGCGACGAGTACGAGCGACCGGCGATGAGGCAGGAGTGCTACAACGAGCGCTGCAAGGGCGTGTGGCGCGTGGAGCCCTGGTCCGAGGTAGGTCCCGATTCGCCCATCAGCCGTGTGGGTTAAATATTCATTATGCATCTCCAATCTCTATCCTGCAGTGCAATGCGCCGTGCGGTCGTCAGGGCATCAAGTACCGCATCCTGCAGTGCGTCTGGTACGGCAGTCGCCGGCCCGCGGGCAATGTGTGCAAGCACCAGCCCCGCCCCGCCGTCATGAAGGTCTGCAAAAGTCCGCCCTGCCAGGCCAAGTGTGAGTATCGATTGATGGTGGACCCAACGGGTCCATTGCCACACTCTACCAGGGGTTACGTCGTCCTATTTTTTTTTATTTTATATTATTTTTATTTCTTGTTCTTTTTGACTACTGCAACATACTTTAAAATTAGTTAAGTGGTATTAAAAACTGTTTCCTAGGCAAAAAGTAATGTGAATTTGTCGCAGAAGGCGCTGATGACCATGCCGGGAAAGGGACTATTTGGCATGTTTCGACGATTGGAAAAAACGTTGTCATGAGTGTATTTTATCGGGAGGAGATTACTTTAAAGGGGATGAAATTGATTTAGAAGAACAAATAAAGATTTTTAATTTTACAAACAAATTCACCTTACTTTGCCCACAGTGGTAGTTTTAATCCATTAAGGAAACTATATGTTTTACCATCGAGAAGTGCAAGCAATAAGATTGAAAAGTTTTAGGTTACGGTTTTCTTTGTTATTTTTATGGCAGGTGATTTATTTTTTTTAATGTTAAAACTTCTTTATTTATTTTGTTACTTTTACTTTTTTGAGATATTTATTTGCATGTAAAAATGTAAACAAATTTCAAACAAATCAAAAATGTGACCAATAAAGGTGTTCGGTTTGAAAAGGAACGTCTTATGATATAGTGACTCTTCTCTCTTAGTTTGATTTTCATTTTCCCTTTATATTACTTTAATAAATATTCCAATTCTTTGAATTTATTGGACTACCACTAACATTATCGATTTCCCACCTGCAGCCTCCACCTCGGCCGCCCTGCACTGTCGCGATTCCTCGCGCTACTGCCGCAACGCCCGCGCCATGGGCCTGTGTCGCCTGCATCGCTATAAGGAGAAGTGCTGCGGATCCTGCCAGCAGCCACAGCAGCAACCCAATCAATACCTATTCCAGTAACTCCGCTGCGGCCTACCAAATGAGCGAGAAATTTACGAACTCTGCAAGCAATTACTCTAAGTACCGTAAATCTAACGAACTATAGCAAGATATAAAGTTAAACTTATCCATATGTATGTATTGCCAGCCACACTAACACGAGTTTATTACGTTAGTTAGATACATTTGTTCGATTTAAAAAGACAGAATAATTTATAAAACATTTCCCGAACCCATTACATAATATTTGGCTCTGAAGTAAGCCTAAATGTTGTAAGATCTGTCCTAGGCAGGATCTCTCTGGCCAATCAATCGACAAACAACCTGACCTTAATGTTTAGCTACTAATTTGATCCTCCTAACAAATCTTTGGCATCCGCTTTGCTTTAAGCAATAAAAACCTTTAAAAAGAATGACTTTGAGGTTCTACATTTTCACTACGTCTCAATTTATTCAAGTGTCATACAATCTTGAGTCGAAAATTAAAACAGGTTACATAGGCATGGCAAGAAGAAAGATAAAAGTTTAAGGTAAATTAACCTAGCAAATAATGAAAGTAAAGATTTAGGCGTGTGATCATGAAATATGATTCGATTTAATGCTGACTCAAATGGCCCACAAAAAATAGTTGAAATGTTTTAGCAAAAATCTCCGACTAGCATTAAAACTAAATTAATCAGCTGAAATCACAAAGCCTATGAAGCATGTTTTAAATTTGTCAGAGAAACATGATGACAAAAAACAAATCCGCACTGTTACCTAATGTGAACGAAAACCGAATACTAATATGTACATATAGTGAAAGACAGATATTTAGGCAACCTTATCGATATGCACCTTTGACTATTCCATCGTCAGTTTATGGCACTGAATTTACTTTCGTTTTGCATTTACCAATTTACCACTAAGGATATTGTAAATAAATCGAATTCGTCACTAAATCAACATTTCATTTAAAGGCCAACCATGTAATTTAATGAAGGAAAAGCTATGTGGAATAAATATGTACGCCTATTTGTAATTAGTTTTTTATGGACAAATTATTTTATAAACATTAACATAAATATAAACAATAAATAAATACTGCGGCGTGCTAGCGTCTGACTATAGTTTAAATATATGCATTGAAAAAACGAAACGAGGTAAAGAATCCCGCGAATGTTAAAAGCGTAAATAAATATTTAAGCTGTTAAGTGAAAGTTATTGATAATAAACACATACAAGTAAACGCAACCGTAACCAATGTTAAACACAAACACAGACCCAAACAGACATGTTAACACATTAACGCAGCCCCACATCAATACATACGCTCCAATCCCATAATACAGCAAGGATATGAAAAACTGCGAAATATTGTAAGGATTTAAAACAAGTGTGGAATAAATATTAAATACTGAACATCTGGGCGTATTTTTTGGAAGGGAGAGATATCGTTTGGTAATTTTTAAAGCGGATAAATATAAATACTCATACTGGCGTCAGTGACCAAGCTATAACTCTTTCAATATCTGTTGGGTTTTCGGTAGATCAATAAGGTTTAATAATTCGCACAGTCACAGATTGGGCGCGGACAACTTTTGCTCCGTCGAATTTCTATTCTTTAAGCTTATTACAAAATTTTTAGTTCTTTTAGTTCCCGTTTTCTCGAAGTTCATACGGACAGACAGTTAAATATATAATACGGATATAATTAGATCGGCTAAGTTAATAATACTTGATAAATAACATTTTTGTTTTATAGGGTCGAAAACTTTTCCTTCAAACTGTTTCAACATTCATTGCCAAAAAAATATCACCGTCAAGTACTTTGTGTCTTTCTTCATCCGGTTATTATAAAAATTAAATTCTATACCATTGCGTAGCTACAAGTAATAACCGACTCTTACGACTTAAAATTATTTTTATGGTAACTTTTTTGAGATACAATGAGGAGAGCTCTGTGTACTCAGGTCTTTTGTATAGCACAGCAGCTTATCGATATAAACTATTCTTTTGTGGTTTTACAAAACATTTCACAAATTCCGTCGTTTAGCTCATAATATTTTCAGTAAAAAGCATACACATTTAAATTGATTTTTTAATAAACGTTATATAATATTTATTTGATGTTTATGTATAATTTCATATAATTATCTGTTCATGTTACGGTTAAAGCGATACAAAATACTAAACTACACTATTATTTACTGGCATACTTATTCATTTAACATCAAGTTATCCTGACAATATATACAAACTGTTTGTTTCTGTTTATTAGAATGCTAAAACGCACATATTCACAGGCGTAAGCTAAGCCTAAACAATATAATTGCCCACATATAAGACAAACAATTCGTAGAACATAATACATCCTTCGAAATGAGTGATCTACTATTAATATTTTTATGTATGTACATTCGATTAAAACACAAGATATATATTTGATAATACACAGTAATGTTATTTGAAGTAGGTATACAGAGCTAGCTAAATTATTTATAATATTGCAAAATTGTTTGGGACTGCTGGTTCCAAATAATTTATATGACATGACAGTTCCCAAATTGAAAATTCAAAACACATGTTAAGATGCTGTTAACAGTGACAATCAAGGCAAAATGGATAAGTGACAAAGAAATGTGATGTGATGAAGTTTATTCCTCAGTCTCGAACCAAAACAAACCACATAGGATCTGCTAGGAGCTCTTTTATCAATGATATCACAGAGGCTCAACATACAATCTACTATTACATATAACAGCATCTTATGGCTATCATAAGATTAATGCTGGCAACCGAGTTCTTTTTCATTGATTTTTAGAGCTGCTTACATTCCCTGTCATTAGCGTGCTATTTTTCCATACTCTTTCAAATTTATTGTATGTGATATCAACTCTGGCTGGAACACTTTTCGGTTGGATCGTTTCTCATTATTCAAGTTAACAAAGTTGACATAAAATGCATTTTCAAAACACTTACAAAGGACAAACAAATTTTTTAAACTTATAAGGAAAGCGTCCATTAGAGTTGGAAATTGGCATGTTGTAGTAATAGTTTAAATTAGATCTTTGGTTCAATATAAACTATGTTTGCCTATTCCACAATCTCTGTGTCAAACCTGCTTGCAGTCTAAATGCATTTATGTATTGTTTCTGTTAATTAGACAGTTTAACTTTTTACATTTTTTATTCGTTGTTAGCTTTATCATTAGGTTCTCAGAAAGGCCTTTTTTAGCTTGCACCTACTTTATGTAATTGGTTTTATAATAATTGCCAAGCAACATTTGAATTCCGTATTCATTTGCATTGAATAATCATTTACATAAACTACAGCGTTCCAACAGCGTTTTGGCGGCTGGGATATGTTTCATAGCACTAGGGATTTCTACAATAGAGGGTGGTGGGACAACTTAGGTGGTAAACGCTAATTCAAAGACATATTCGTAGAGTTACGTCTATAATGAAACTAAACAAAAATTTGCACTAATGAAAATGTATATAAATGTGTATTTCTTATTGATGCAATTTTCAGTTATTTTTCATATCATTCATATTGGTTTTGCTTAATGTAAATAAATTATATCACAACAATAGAGACAAAGTTTGTGGTTCGGAGTGCATCGGCGTGTGATGGCTTGTTTCGAGTCAATCAAACAGGATACATAGACATAATTGGGTATTGAACAAATTACAGGCATTGGTTCAACATGGAAATTCTCAGATACACACACACACACACAACGTTTAATTATATAATTTGGGTATATGCATATGCACTTGTTGTTTAAATAGGGGGAGAGAGAGCAGCCACACACGCGTAGCAGAGTTTCACTGAGATCCAAGACAAAAGTTGCGCCGAGCTTTATCTTAATATTAACTGTTGCTGAGCGCCTTCTTCTTTCTTTGTACTAGGATGTCATAGAACGGATTGTGGCTGATGGACTGCGTCAGCCGCTTGACCCACTCCTGCTGGTCCTCCTCCGTGGCAGCGGACATGCGGTACACCGTATGCTTGCCCTCAACCACCTGAAATAGGGATACAGAATGTTATTAGCATTTAATTCGGACTTCTTATAGCAAGTACTTACCTTGCCCTCGGAGTCAGTCTTGCAGGCCTTAATGATCTCAGCACCGCCAGAGGCATAGAGCTCAAAGCAGTGCGGTTTGCTGCGATCGTGAATCTCGCGCACCGATATGTTCTCAAGGGGAATAATGCCGCGCGGCTCCTTATCGGTGGTATATTCAAAATAGTATAGGCAATTGTCGTTCAAAATGAACCAACGTCGTTTCCACGATTTGTATCTTTAGGAAAATAGAATAGAAAGTACATTCGTTAGTTAGGAAATCACCCATTGAATGGCTTCGTTTAGCAACTCACCTGCCGCCTTGCTTCCACAGCCAGCCCTCCTTGTCGGGATTGAAGAAGGTGTGCATCAGATCATTGCCATCGTCTTGGGGTATTTTGAATGGCTCCGTTCGAATGGACTCGTAGAGGGACTCCAGCAGGCCGCGGGGCAAATCTCCGCCGTTGTTGATGCCACGATTCATCGATATGAATTGCTCAACGGTGGGTTTGTCTTTAACCTGTTGGGGAAAAAGGAGACCGAGAGTTAGCATCAGATATAAAAACCAAAATATATACCGCTTACTTATAAAAATACACTTTTAATTAACTTTTGATGTGCTCATATTCAACTCAAAGTGCACAACCAAATTCGTTGCAGTTTCTCTGTAGTTTCTGCACACTTGCCCTATTTATAGCTATCTTAATTAGTAATTTCTCTAAAGATCGGTCGGACACACGCCCCAGCAAATGCAATGGCGAAATGCGGAAGTAAATAGCTGCAATCCCGATAATTGCGGGCTGACAACCAGCGAATACAAATTTAATTTCAAAGTTGAAGGACAGATCCGGGGCACGCGTCTTGCATTTCTTTTTTGGGGTTTCTTATTTTTTTGGTTTTGGCATAAGCAACTGTTTCCTGACATCCGGTTGGCGATAAAGATGTTAAAGAACTTGAAGTTGATGCCAAGAAATAAATTTAGCAGAAGACTTAATATATTACAGTGTTATAAGAAAATTTACCGGGCAAATGCGTTTTTAGGTATAATATATCTAATGATTCACTTAATTTTTTGTTGATAGGTAATAATGTTCCTTAACTTTATAAAATAGTATGAAATTATTAGTGTGTATCTAAATAATTAAAATCTCTTTTTATTTTCCTCTAAACCTTCTTATATGACTTTACGATTTGTTGTACTTACCGATGGATTGTGCAGCGATGTATTGAGCATTATAATGGCGAAGCTGAGCACGTAGCAGGTGTCCGTGTTGGTGAATATATCCGGATTCAGTTGGCAATAGCGCTGTGCGAAGGTCTCCATCATGCGGTCGATCTTTTGCGCCTCGCCGGGCAAGCGAAATGACCACAGAAATTGTCTGTGGAAAGTGAAAGGCGGGCAGAGGAGAAAAGCGGGGAAAGTGCCATTAGCGATAGTGGTAATTAGAAGTGGGTGTCGGGAGGGGACCTACCTGAGGGCCTGCACTAGAATGAGATTGGTAAAATCGTGGAGCGCCACAAAGGCCTTCAGCACATCCTCATTAAAATCGTTCTTTTCGCCAAGGTAATCGCCTGGAAAAAAAAACGACCATTAAAATGTATGTTTGCAGTAAGTATAATTGTTTTTTCCGATTTTGTTTTAGCGATGGCCATAAAGGCAAGGTCACTTAATGACTTCTGGTTGGGATAACTTACCAATGGCGGTTTTATTTAGTCCCTCGCCCTTGTAGAGGAAATGTGCCACATCCTGGGGATCGTGACGCAGCAGTCTATTCTCTACGAGATACTCAATGCCTGAAAAATAATAAAATAAAGAATATTAGTCTACAAGTATTAAGATATGGGTTTTACAACTGCAGTGCAGACTTTGTAATCACAACGAATGCTCCCGGAAAAGCAAGCCGCCACACCAGTCACAACAAAGAAATCAAATCATATAATATAATATACCCATATATGCATGCATTCAAAGCCAGCGACCCGCAACATAAACCACAGCAATCTCAATAAAGAAGGAATACGGAAAAATAAAGACAGAACGAAGTGGGAGCGCCCCATAATAACGATGTCATTATTTGCCAATCAATGAAGAAGCTCAACCAATTCCGACAAAAGCTGCAAAAACGCGACCAAATCGCACGCAAACAAATGGAATTCAACTAGAATTATTAGATGTAAACAATAATGTATGAAAATAAATAGATAGGAGTTCCTATAGCAGAAGTTGATGGCGATATCCGCCAGGTGGCGCTTAGACAATATTAGGAATGCCACAGATTGGAATTCCAGATTGAAGTCGGCATTGCCATCGGAAAATTCTAATAACACACACATGACAAATCAGTTCAAAGGATGTGGATAAAATGGGGGCTGACAGGATAAAACTTTGAGTTCCGTTTTCGTAGAGGTCCTTTAATCCGCTCCTGGCTTCCCGACGATTCCCTCACTCAATGTTGGTAAGCAGAAAGTTTTGCGTGACTTCGGGAGCTTCACGCGCGATTAACATCGCCAAGTTGGCAGAGCCCCCTCCTATCCAACCAATCCTCCCTATAACACCCCTCTCCAGGGGGGCATCATTTGAGCGTTATGGATGGCACATTTGTGTGCCATTAATTTGAGTGTTCGTGTGTGGATCTGTTTGCGTATATTGCTGATAATCGGCCGATAAGGCGACAAATGACGATGACACCACCATCACCACCACGACTCATGTGGTACATTCTCGAGTGGAACTTTTTTAATAAGCGACGACAAAACATCTCGTCTCTGGCCGGGATTCGATTTGGCTTTTGTTATTCAGCCATCTACGGCACATGCACCTCCCGAGCCTCCCCACTTTGGATTATCATTTTTATTGTGCGCCCTATAGATACATATAGCCGGAAAGCCGGGCAGGATGTGATGTCTTTTGTGGGAAGCTGCGTGGCCTAATTTCGACTTGTCGACGGTAATTTATGGCCAAGAGAGGTTGACGTAAATATTTGATTGGTTTTAAACGAGTGGGCCAAGTGGGAGATGGGATGGCAGGGTGGTTGTGGAATGTCCCAAGATATGGGGCGGGAAATTGAGATGTTCCAGAGATGGGTAAACGGCAAACATGTTGACATGTGGGTCACACAATGTGGAGGCTCTAAAACTCAAGTTGAAGGTGTATATTTAGCACTCTGCCCTTTCGATACGAAAATAGAACGATTTCCCTTTAAATTATTCAGCTCAACCTAACATTTCCATGATATTCTTGGAAAAGAAACAATAAAATGGGTATTTCCGTGTACTTTAAAATAATTAACAACAGCTTTTCCTTTAAAATCTCCAAACTCGTTTAAAGAGGTTCACCATTTATGTATTTATCTTGTATACACCCTTGTTTTGGGACTATCTTCTGGCACGATGCCCCTATGGCATCCTCCCTTGTCAAGTTCTCGGTAATATTGCGACATTGACATTTCCATTAAATTAAACACTTGAACATTCTGAGGGTTTTCCATTTTTTTTCTGGGGGAAAGAGGTGACGACGGACACGCACGTACTTCAGATGTCAACGAACTGTCAAATTTGTCAGAATTTTAAGATAGTGAACGAACGAACGCCCCTCACCCACATAGACAATCCTCCAAAAGATCTTCTTCGGCAGTCCTCCAACTGCACTTACTGCATTTTTTCCGGGCTCATTACGTTATTAAATTAACGTCAAAATTATCATGGGAAGAACGTGTCCGTAAGTCCCACCATACAGCACCGATACAGGCAATCCTCACTCTTTGACAATTTCGCATGGTAATTTTGCCTCTTGGCGCCGAAGCACGCTCCATGGATTCTCGTGGAGATTCTGGTGTGAATTAACCCTCCGCCACACCATGTCTGTGGAGTCGACGCCTGTCCCCTGCCCTCATCAGCTCAATTATAAAGCATTTTGTCTGACTTCATTGTCGCCGAGCTTCGGGGTGTCGCCCCGTGTCATTGGAAATTCATTTAAATCATCGCATTTGCAAAGTTTACATTTCACGACTTTGAGCGACACTCCCTTTTGCCTGATTGCCAAATAAGCTGATGTGGAGCTGTGGAAAATCGTCTGGATTATATGGGGAGAGAACCTTTTAAATTGCACTGTGCTCTGGCTATTTGCATATTGAACCGCATTGAGTCATCAGGAAATTACAAGCTAAAGCGAACAATAACTTTTTGAGGGCTCAAGGGGAAAGTACATACATTTTAATTTTAAGCATTCAACTCACCTTTTTTCGGATCCATATTGAACTTTTTGCGGCCAATGGACATCTGCTTGTCCTTATTGGAATGCTTGCAGTCTTCGGGCACATCGAGCGCCTCCATTTCCGAGACAACTTCGTTGAGTTCATCTTTGATTTGCTAAAAAGAGAGATTCGGAAACGAAAAGGTTACACATGAGAATTTAAAAATAACTTGAGGAAGTGCCTGAAACAAGTGGTGCTATAAATACATATGCAAATACAGTTTGCAGTCGACAATTCCAAGTTAATGAAAAAGTTCAGGCCACTTGGCTGCTGTTTAAACTGCGTGTGATATTTATAAAAAAAAAATCCCATAAATTCTAAGCACTGAAAGTCGAGTAATTTGCATTTCCTCAGTGCCGTGTCGCCTGTGGACTGGCGCCAAATAAAAAACCAACTACGACGACATACACTCAGTTGAAATCATTTTTAAAATTGGTCCGCTCTAGAGCTTAAAATACAAATGGGGGGAAAATAGAGCAGATCCATAAAACCCAGTGCAAAGTTGATTTAATTGAATTAACGAACTACCTGACACTGAACCGGAGACATCGCCTATGGTCACTGGTTCCTCAAGAACTTACTCATCAAGGGTCATTCCGAAAGAAGAATGTCAATTTGATGTGGTGCTCGAAGAAGCGGAACGAGTGAGATTCCACCGAACCTAAAGTATCTTGTATTTGTGTATCTGTAAGCTACTATATTTCTGAGTTGACGCATGAATGATGAGATGAGAGCCACGAGACCGGAACATATCAATTGCCCCGCAGTCATTCACAGCCCAGTCCTAAAAAGTGACCTTCTGACTTGAGGGGAGGGGGTATATGTATATACCATCGAATTGAAGGGAGAAATGTTAATTAAGCTCCATAAAATACATTTGACAAATTGTCCCAGTACTGTGTAATAGGCTTCACGCATATGCAGTTGCTAAGATCGTTGAGATTCACGATGAGATCATTGGGACCTTCAATCGAGTCAATCGAAATTAAAATTGAAATTGAAATTCTCATTGAATGCGGATTCGCTGAGTAAATTAGTATTTCAGTGACTTGTTGGAATATAAATCTAATGGTGTCAAGAATTTTATATCTCATCGACATTGAATGATTTCGAGGAATTTTAATGCTCAATACGTGTCACCCAGAATAAGCGTAAGCAGAAAAATGTTATTTTTGAAGAATGATGTTAAGCAAATGTTTGTCAATAAAAGTGGATAAGATTTCTCATAAAAATGATAGCTTTGCTTACTCGTGGTAAACGGGCTATATTTGTATTACAAATGCCTCCCCACATTTATAATAGTTTGTTTTTGAATAATTTACCCAACTCACACCAGCATTTAATAATTTAACGACTCTATTTTGATCGTTAAGAGTTTCCCAGGCTCTGAACCATTAATTTTCATTACCCATACTCCACACCACTTCCGTAGGCCTTAAATTTTCATAAAGCGCAATCCTTAAATAAACTTTTGAACAAAGAAATTATGTAAATTTTCCAGATTTTCCAATCAATACAAGGGTCAACAAACCAAATGGTAGCCTTAAGCTACCAAGCTACGCCCCATAAAACCATAGAAAATGACATAAGAAAATATAAAAAACTTGAGGCGTTGAACAGGTTCTGGTATCTAAATGTTGGTAAAAAGCGACAATTATTAAAAAGGCCCAAGTGGACACGGTTTATTGAGAGAAAAAGATCAACTGGCAGGGAGACAAAGTTAATGAGCGTCAAACCTAAAAATAAACTCAAAGCGAGGCTTGGTATCTTCCCAGTTAAGGCGACAGGTAAAAGATACTTGATGACGAGTGTGAGAACATGCCGGATTTGAGTTCCAGAGAAGCAGCTACAGGTGATAACTGGTTTCGGACTGGAATGCTCAATGCAAATTCTTCGAATCGCGGGGATATTAAATGTATCTGAGCCGAAAAACAAATTGATTGTGGTATAAAATGGCAAAACAAGTTGCCAAAAGCGAAGATTAAAAAACCCAATTTCATTTAACTGAAAGTCATCAAAAAGATTTCTTCGGAAATTGTATTATTTTGCCTTGTTTTATTTTCTAGACCGCATATCTCTCAATTTAAAAAAAAAAGTTCAAATGTGACTTATTTTATCGCAAAGCGAGATTAAAATGCGCCACCTACCGGCGGTATACAGATTTAAGCGTTATGGGCGTTAGAGTGGGCGTGGAAAATTTTTTTTTGGATCAATCGATAGGTATTGACGAGACCAATACATTTCAGTTGAAATTTTTTATCTAGCATGAAAATTGTGGGTGTCACAGGCTTTCGCGGTTTGTGGGCGTTAAAGTGGGCGTGGCAAACTTTTTTTGGGTCAATCGTTAGGTATTGATGAGAACAATACATTTCAGTCAAAATTTTCTATCTAGCATCAAAACTGTAGGAGCCACAGTTTTGGGCGGTTTGTGGGCGTTAGAGTGGGCGTGGCACTCTGCTGAAACAAACTTGCGCTGCGTAAGAAGCTCAGGAATCTGCACGCCAAATCTCAATAGCCTAGCTCCCATAGTTTCCAAGATCTCAGCGTTCATCCGGACGGACAGACAGACGGACAGACGGACATGGCTAGATCGACTCGGCTAGTGATCCTGATCAAGAATATATATACTTTATGGGGTCGGAAACGCTTCCTTCTGCCTGTTACATACTTTCCGACGAATCTAGTATACCCTTTTACTCTACGAGTAACGGGTATAAAAAAACATCCCCTTTATAATTCTTCATAAGAATGTGGGAATCCCTACAAGACTTTGATATGCACTCTCCGTGTAAAAGGAAATAAACACTTAAGCATTAAACGATGAAGCATCATCAGCTGTGTTTGGGAATTTCCCTTTCCCCACATACCTTTCCCGGCCGCCTCAGGATGACCAGGTTGCCACTCTGCTCCGCATTGCTGCGGTTTCTCTCGAGGAGTGTGCGACAACTCTCGCAGAGATTCGATTGCTGGCTGCCCCGTTTGCTGCTGCTGTCGTTGTTGTTATTGTGGTTCACATTATTATTGTTGTTGCTGATCGAGTTTCGCTCGGATTCACTGGGGGAATTGGAGCTGTCGTCGATGAAGCGCAGATCGCCGGTATCGGGTGTCAGCGGTGAGCTCAGTCCCGAACTGGGATCCGTTTCCAGTTGCAATCCGGGATTGTCCATGCCATCCATTCCCATGCCCAAGCCCAAGCCCATTTCCGTTTCACTATCCACATCTACATCCAGCATGCAACCCAAAGAGTTGGACCGTGTCTTACGCGGGGATCGTCTTGAGATGATCTGTCCCTTCTCATTCAATAGGATTTCCACAGGTCGCGAAATAACCATGGTCCTAGTCGTCGTCGTGGTGGTGGTGTGCTGGTACTCCGTTCTCTTGCTGAGTATCGCCATGTTGGGTTCATCGGGGCAGGGCAGTCGTTGCACCTCGGTGACCTTGCGGGTCACATCGCTGCAGCTAACGGTTTCGGTGCTCAAAGTGGGGCTGGCAGGAGGTGGGCTATCAGGCGCTAGATTGGTGATGTTGTATGTGGCCACGCTGGTGTAGGGTGCCAGCGAAGGGGAGCGGGGTTTAACAGGCGGTTTTGGACTGATCTTGGGGGTGGGTTTGGGTGTGACCTCCTTGCTGGCCTCATTCTTGGTGAGCAGATTACAAAAACAGCGAGTGCAAACGCTGCTCAAGCTACTACCACTACTACTGCTGCCCGTTTCCACCAGACGACGGCGATCGTCTTTGCCTCCTGGCGAGGATGCATTCCGTGGGTTGATGTAGAAGGTGCTGCTGCTCAGACGACTTCCGGGCGATCCCTTTGTGGAGAATCCCACGCCCACGCCCACATTTACAGCACCACTACCAATACCATCGCCGGAGGAGAGGTCAAAGCAGCTCCTCTGCAACTGCTGCTTGCTGCCAAAGCTTCCACTGCCCCCCAAGCCCGAGGAGCTCTTCTTATTCTTGGGCTGCCGGCGCAGCGAGGAGAACCAGTTACTGATGCTGGGACGCTTTTGGTGCAGCGAGGCCATCCTTTTGCTGCTTGGTCAATTGCTCACTTCCTGGGAAACAAGTTTTGGTCCTCTTGAATTTGGGGCAATTACACTTGCACCTCCATGGTTGTCTCACTGAAAATTTTAAAGGTCTTAGTTTGGAGAAGGAGATTTTAGGGCTCTTGAGTCAGGCAATTTACAAGTACAAAGCGGGGATATTTCTTCGGTTTAACCCATAAATTAATTAGCCAATTTGGGCTGTCTTCGCCCCGAGTGCAGTGTGTGAAACCCCACAAAGCACTTCTCGGCAGGAAGTGTCAGCATAACCTCAGAATTAAATTTGTCTGGCGTCGCAACATTTTTCGGGTTTCCCCTGCCAGCTCAGAACGGAGACACAAAACGAATTACGCTAATGGCCTGCAGGTTAACAAGGTGATGGCGTTCCCTAATCCCAGGACATGCAGACGCGACGTAGAAAAGGACACTTCCGTGTGTGATTTGTCGACTTGCGGCTTAAAGCATTGAATCAACAGAACAGAACACAGAACCCAGGATCAGGATGGGCATGAAAATGGGATTGAAAATGGTACCGAGTCTGCGGCAGACGCCCATCCATTCCTTTGTCTTGTGATTTATTGAAATTTCTTTCAGGTCCCCTTTGCACTTGGTGTCTAATGTTTGCTGTGTGCATTATTTTCGTTTGGGACAAACCGGAAGGAAGTCAGCTCGATAAAGCTCGGGAATTGTTTTTTGGGAACAGGCGAGACCGAAATCTAATTGGGGTCCGTGTTCTGGGTTTTAGCAAACACGAGAAAATCACTCAAGCATATGCAAAAGTTTAGCGAGACGAAGATTTCGCAAAGATTTATGGCATTTTTGGTGAGATGATTATTAAAATGTGTCCCCCACACAAAACGAAGGAAGACTTATTTACACAAAAGCATTTTTCATCGATTGCTTTCAAAGTGTCAACGGAAATGCCTGTCAAGACCCTCACTTTTAATATAATCTGTCAATGGAATGTACGGAATACCAAGGGTTATTGCAAATCCTGATAAAATTACCCCTAAAATAACCTTTAACGTTAATTAGGGTCGCATTATAAAAGTTAAATTACCCAAGAATTCGCTTTGATTTTAAATAAGCAGGCCGTCCCAGGTTTCAACTACCATATTTACTTTAATCAATGTCAAATTGTTGGGGTCCCCCGACCTATAAACGAGGCGTGCGGACTCTCTAATGTCCCATCTGGGACTTGGCAACCGGGAAAAATGACAAAGTCCCCAGGGGACGAGTTCTCTTACAGCCAACAATTGCCTGAGTTTTGGCCTTGCCACGCCCACTCATAAGGCGGGGTAACCCGAATGGAGTATCCAAAAGAGTTTTTGGCATCCTTTTTACGGCGCCTACGTGATTGGATTGCACAAATGAGCGAACATTCAAATGGATTGCATTTAATATGGTTCCTATGTAGATGTTCCCTATATAAATACATATAAAATAGCCAAGTATAGAAGGCAAACACGATGGGGCGGCGACCACATAAAAGGCGCGGCCAGCTTCGTTGACCAAGTTGAAAAAGATTGAGGCAAAAGACAAACACTGGGTAGAACACACAGGTGAATGCCACAAGAAGAGAAGACTAAAGAAGGAAAATAAGTAAAATGAAATTAAATTTGTAAACAAACTATCAATCAAACTGAATGAAGCCGACACACAGGCAAATGAGTAGAATACACAGACATACAAAGGGCGAAAGATAAAAGCAGATCCCACAGATACATGTATATATATATAGATACAGGTACAGATACAGATACGAGCACCGACAACTTGAAGTGGCCCATCAAAGCTGCGATTGTGATTGCTACCTGTGGGCAGGAAATGCGCTTTGACTATGGAAAAGTAATGGCGTGTAGGACTTAACCCCTTGTGAGTTTTCCCCAAAGTCTTGGCCCGTGATAAATGGGGTAAAAACAAAATAAAAGCGTATAAAAGACGCCGCCACACACACAGTAGCCAGCAAAATGGGGCGTGTCTTGGGCCATTTATCTTGACAATTTAATCTACACTTTACACTTTGCAACCAAACAATTGAAAACTGCTGGCGAACGCCTTTTTCTCGGCCAACGCGCTCTCTTAACCCTTTTGTCTGGGATTGTTAAAACCAATTAGAAAATCAGACACATAAACAATGCCCTAGACCGAAATACATACTCTCTCGCATAAGAGCCAGATAATACAGAAAGTACCATCTGGGACTCAAACGGCGGGGTGGGAAAGAAAGGGATTGGCGGAGAAAGACCTTTATTGTCGACATCGTCTGGGTGGATTTGAGTTTTCCCATAAGTGACTTTTACTTTCCTCCAGCAAAATGCAATTAAACGCAAGCTTTCCTCGCTCACTCTCCAATTGCGACAGTTAGTTTTCCCTTCATTTTGTCTCTCCCGACATTAAATTAAATGTATCTACGTATCTCGGCTTTGTCGGGTCAATGGCTCCCGTTGATGGAAAGTGTGAACATTTTGTCTGCAATTGTTATTGATTGTCTGTGTAAAACATGCTAAGAGGATTTTCTATTTAAGTTAAGAGTCTTAGCCTTTGTCTGCCCAGCGGAAAAAAAGTGAAATTAGAATAATATTTAGGGAATATGACTTCAGGGGAAGCCTTTTAATAATTTTCCGTTCTTAGATTGCGGAATTATCTCCTCGAAAACAAAAGCCAAAACTATTTCTTGCTAATGATCAAAACTTGTCCAGCCTCATCGCCCATAAAACAGCACGCAAAAAAGAAATCTAAAAAATGCCATATAAAACAAAAAACACTTTACAATAGAGGATGCTGATGAGACCTCGCCATATGTAGGCTATACACTTTTTGTAGACTCTATTTCGTATAGTTTGCGTCATTTTACTAAATCGAGAAAGATGCAAATTTGTGGCTGCGATGTGGGAGAATGGGGAATATTGCCCGCATTAGTTTCCAGTTTTTTATTTTTGGAGGTTTTTTATTTTGCCACATGAATGGCAGGCAATTCGCAGGCAGCAGCTGAAATTAGGAGCATAAGGATGATGGAGAGGAGCACAAACAGAAACCAAGCAAAACTAAACAGAAAAAAAGGCAAAACAAATATATAATAATAAACAAACCCGCCTGGGCTGCCTTGGCATCCATAAACGTAATGAGCAATGTCCATAGAAAGATACAGATGGAAATATTTATACGAGTATTACGTATATAGACTAGTCAACCGCCCCTGGGGCAGGCAGCAAACAGTGGCAACAGCTGGACCTCCCATTTCAATATATTATTTATATTTGGCATTTGTTTATGATATGTTAAATGGCATTTGCTCATTTTTTATACTCGACACACAAATGGTGAAAGATTTCGTCTGCCCTTGACGGGCATGATATATTTTGTTTCCATTCTGGTTTCCGTTTTGAAAAATCACTCGTTCAACACTTATGGTCTTATGACACTGACTTTAAATTCAAGTAACTGATTGGATTTAACTTAAAAGGTTATGGCAACATAGAGAAAAAGGAAAAAAGGGACTTTAAAAATATTTAATAATTTTTATAAAGATATAAAAATATCAGATCCGTTAGTCGAAATGAAAATCAGTGTGATTGGTTACAGCACCCAAAACTAGACATAAAAGTAAGTTAAAATTTGTAAGTTAAAAATTAATAACTTTTCCAATTAGTTGCTATTCGCCTTTAACCCCAAGTAATTATATATCTATAAATAAGCGGAGAGATGTACCTGGTTACACATGATTGTCTCTAAAAATTAGCCCCAAGATTTTCAAGGCCCTAAGCGCCAAGCTAATAATCAAAACCACTCTGAACTAATAAGTGTGGAGCGGTCTGTGTATTAAAGTGCATATACATTCCCCATAAATCTCATTCCCTCGGCTATATTTCTCTGCTCGGTGAACCATTAAGAACGCAAGTTCGTTGGCCCACTTCGCCGGCACAAACAACAATCAACAATGTCCGCCAACAGAATATCTAAAATAAATGTGTTTTTGATTAAATACCTTTTGTTTCTACTCAGAATAGAATAGAATACAGGACACAGAAGAAAGCTGGACAAAAGGTAAGTCGAATACAATCAGAGATGTAGATGCGGGTGGTACGTGTATCTATAGCCTGGTAAATGTACCTGGATTTCCACAGATACTTCTACTCCCACAAAAACGACGTGATGGCCCTTTATAGTTAATTCTTTTTTGGCAGACATTTCCCACAGCTCATTAGAATGCCGCCGTTTCCAATGTAATTAGATTGTATTGTAGACATTGTACAAAAAGGTTGAGAAAACGACATTACTTTATACTTTGCTCACACATTTGGATGGCATTTCTACTGCTTAGTAAAATGTTAGTTACACGCGCTCTGCATACTAAACACCTGCGCCCCTCACACAGATACTCAGATACTTTTGCGTATCCGCGAGGTAGCAACAGGTGCACCTTGTTTTTTTTTTATGGCAGCTCCCAAACAAAAACAACAGACAGACGGGGGCTTTTACGTAGCTCGTTTTGCTTGTGGCATCGTATTTTACCCATGTTTATTGATTGGGTTTTCCGCCTCTGTTTACTGGCGTCAATTTGCTAATTGTGCATTTCGCTTTCGGCCTCAATTTCAGATAGCTAATTGTTGTATCTGCTGGATACGTTCTAACTCAGATGGATCACTTTTACTTTTATGCACTGGCATTTCGCACTGGAATGCTTTTCGGGTCAAGGTGAGAGAGGGTTCGTTTGTTGTCTACGCATTGGAAATTCAATTTTCCCAATTGACTGTCAGTTTGCTAGTTGAATATGATTTTGATGGATTGATTGATTGACTGATGCGAATAGAATGAATGACATGGCGCAACATCAAAGCAAATTGCATAGACGCATGCTGAATTTATGAAAATAATTTCAGATTTATTCCGTTCCCTTAGTCCCCCCCCTCACTCCCTGCAAAGTTTTCAAATCTTCAAGTTGGAACTGGAAGTGGAAATGGAATTTTTAAGTTTTTGAGTTTCTTGCCCTTTTTGGCAAGAAACTTTTTGCAGTCCATGAAAAAGTTTTCGTCAGCTGCCGACAGAACTAATTAGTAAATGAACTTCAAACAAGG